TATTGACAATATCTCTCACTCTTTTACTGTATAACATCTCATATTGTACTGGCTGCTGATTAATAATAGAAATACGTTGAAAAACCCAACAACTCCCAATGTCTCCGAGCTGCGTCATACACTCACATTACATCTGTGAAGGAATATTGCACTTTTAGACGGTAAACTCTTTTCATTTAATAAAACCTGGAAATACTGGAAATCTGGTATACAATACCGCTTTTGAGCTTTAAGAATTTAAGACCTGGTTCACACCTGGGCGTTTTAGAGCGCGTTCCTACATGCTCTAAAACATGTGAAAACCAGCATGGACCCATTTTCCTTGGACATTAATCTTGAGCAGTGGAACCAGGCAGTGTTCAGCAGACACGATCTGAAAATGAAGGGGGATGTGCCAGTTAAGTTTAAATTTAGCCTAAAATGATTCGTGCATTATTGCTTAATACAAAAAAATTATTTATAGGTGAGGCCAGTATGATGCTAGACATGTGCACCGGCATAAAATTTGTTTTGTTTCGTTTTGATTCAGATTTTGCGTTATTTCGTTTTTCGGTTCTGAAAGTCAATTTGTTTCGGGATTCGGACGAAATGGGTTAGCGGTATTCTGTACAAATTTCCGTTTTCGTTTGTTTCGTTGCAGCAAAGTGACATTACATTTTGTATTTTTTTATTAAATGTCACTTTGCTGCGACAAAAATTTGTCCACGAATGAATATTGGTACAGACTACTGCTAACTAATTTCATCCGAAATTTTGTTTTCGGAAATTCGGATTCGTTTTCATTCGTCATATCTGTTATTTGGAAATTCGTCAAAAACTAAAATTTGTCATAAAAATAAGTTTTTCTGAAAAGAATCACACATATCTATATGATGCACTGAATATTATGTTCAGTTGGCAGATATAATAACTAACATAGGGTGGAAGTCCCCCCATAAGCAAATGCAAAGCCTTATTAATTATGTCTCACCAAACATGTTCTGTACATGTCTATCATCTAATTTAAAGTTTGAAATCTCTTAATGCACAGAGGTTTAAAAGAAAGAAAGTCCCTAGATTTTCTTATATAATGCTAAAAAAAACAGTATTGACAATATGAAACATACTTTATTTAATCAATAATGGTGCATTGTTTAATTAGTCTTCTGGGAGATTAATTCTAATGGGGAAAGATTGGCTGATGTACCACAACATTATAAATGCGGCTTTATTTGAAACATGTGCACTATTGCTCACAGGGGGTAAATTACATCATACAGCAGCCCACAGAAAATATTATATGCCGTATGTAGTAGATACATTCATGCTTTGAACAACAAACAGATACGTTCAGTAAAGTTTATTCCGGTAGCTCATAAGAAATAATGGAGTAGAAACAAAACTTACAATACCTAGAAAGAAGAAAAAACAAATTTTCAAAGGCTGTTGCTATTTTGCTAGAAGTACTGAATACAATGCTATACAGTATAGCATATTTATTTTCTCTTTTTGGAATATGACTGATGTTTAGTTTTAGGAATGTAGTGTATCTTTTTATAATGTGGCACACTACACTCTGGAGTGTTCTGTTTAGGCTGCTACACAGGAGCCCAAATAGACAAAATGGGTAGAGAATATATGTGGCACTGGCTAGGTGGTCTCAAGAAATTAGGTGTATGAAGGGGCCAGATTATTTTATGTACAGTGGCACACAATTAGATGTATTGGTACAGTCACAGAAAATGATGCCAGTAGTACTAGAAATAGTGATGAAGGAAGGAATGCTGAGCAGTGTGGGAAAATAAGCACACCTTTCTGTACTTTGAGTTTCAGAGGTCAATTCTGGGTGGGTGGCATCACAGCCAGAGGGTATGCACATGTGTGTGACAATTATGATGATGAATGATAGAACTTCTGCAATCGAAGCCATCTATTGCCTAAAACATATACTTTACATTTTAAAATGCCGCTGTCTTTCCCACACTTTTTTCTCTGCTCATTAAATTTACTAGTGTTTCACTTATTAAGTCCAGTTAATGGGATTTATTTACCCCCTCCTCCAGCTCCCCAGGCCAGTCCTCCCCTGCTCCTGATTTAAAGGTGAGGGTGACAATTGTTTTAGTAAATACATTTTGTTCAGGGCAGGGAGGGGGTGGCTGTGCCATGTGTTTGTATTTTTCATATACACAAAAAAAATTATATTAAAATGCAAATGTATTTATAATGATGGTACAATACACAAACAAAGAATATAACAACAACAAAAGACCAAAATAACCAATCACAAACCAAATCAGCTTAGTCTAGCCTTGTGTTTTCCAACTTTATTATGTACCTGCTATAATTGTATGTCCAGTACCATTCATACATTTATTATGGCTACCTCCTAAATGGGTATAAATGTTTTCTTAGATAGTTACCCATGTTCATTTTATATTTCATTTGCATTTGTTCAGATTCTAAACTATTATAGTACATTTATTAAGGAAAATAGAAGTACCATTGGGGTATGTATACCTCTAAATGAGAAGCTGTGGTTCAGTTGTACAGTACAGAAGAAAATCAGCTGCACATCAAACTTTTTCAATGTAGATTAAAGAACTTTATGTACCAGAAATAGGAGTTTCCCGGGCAGGACGCTGTGTTGTCTGGTACATTCAATTTTCTTGCCTACATTGAGAAAGTTTGGTGTGCAGCCAGTTCTTTCTCCTGTACTGTGGATCTTCATTTGAGCTGCTTCCAGAGTTAGCATTGAAGGTGAGGAAGCCTACTTTAGGGCTTGTGAGTTGCACCAATATTCTTATGGTGACTTATGTGGTTTAATTACCTATTAAATGCAAAGATTCTATTGTTTTATGAAACAGCATATTAGCCTTACATGAAAAGCTGCTGAGTCTAGGTAATGCTGGTCTTTGTTCAACAAACAGTGGTACACATGTATCCAAAGCAGCATTAAAGTAGATATCATAGATTGTGTTATATAACTTTTAACATGTTAATATCATATCACATTTTAAATCTGTAGCTTTTAATAAAATAATATCTGGTGATTCTTCCACGAAGGTTCTTACTCAGACCCTTCCCGTTATGGCAGGACAACACTCAATCCCTGTCAATTGGAGTCTACAAGCTCCAGCACCCATTACCAAGACAGGGTCCAGTGTTTTCCCCATCAGGAAACCTAAGAAATGCTATGCAACCATTGCTGGTGTGCAAGTAGACAGGGAGTGGCTGCAAAGAGGCTGCAGAAGATTAGTAGCACTGAAAAATGATGAAAAAAAAAGAAAACCATTTTGTTTAAAAAATGTCAGTGGTTTATGAAACATGGTGCTTTAGCAAACTAGTGGGGTTTTTCACCAAAGGGTGAAGAGTTTAGAGAAGGCAGGAAAAGTAAATAATCTCAGGCAATTTTTTTTTCAAATCAGCTATAGTATTATATATATATTGTTCACTTTTCCGGCCTTCTCCAACTCTTCACCCTTTCCTTAATGCCCTTTAAATGTCATTCATTTAGTGTCCACTTATACTTTCAACAAAGACATTAAAACTATGGAGACTATCTCTTAGGGATCTATTCACTAAGCTGCCGAGGACAGCCGAGTGACTAACCGACCCGAAATTAAGTGAGCCGAACACTGTTCGGCTATTCACTTCAGGCTTGTATGGCTGAAATTAGCCGTACATCGGCTTGCTTCGCTTGGCTTTGGGTCGGCTGAACATGCTCAGCATGTTTGGCCGACCTGAATTGCAGAAGGAGTTCCAAGCGGCATTCGGCTCAGCAATTCTACTCGATACCTCTGTGGTACCGAGCAGAATAGAAAAATAGTAAAAAAAGTAGAAAAAATATATAAAATGATTGGGCGCAGTGACAGCTAGCTCTGCCCAACTGTTTTTTATTGGCCGGGTGGTTCTGCTGCCATCAAAATAAAAAATAAAACTCTCCCGGAAAGTTTTACTCTGCTCGATCGATCAGAGTAAACCTTTCCCTGCTCTGTTGTCTTTTTTTTTTCTTCTGTCATCGGAGCCGTTGGCTGCCATCAGAACAAAAAAAAAAAATAAGCATAGGAATGCATAGCTACATTCCTATTGGCTATTTCAATTTGCAATAGCCAATAGCAAACTAGCTATTGCACCCGTCCTCTGCTGCTGTCAATCAGCAGAGAAGGACCTGATGGAGAAGTGCAGGTCCCCTCTGCTGATTGACAGCAGCAGTGGGCGGGTGCAATAGCTAGTTTGCTATTGCAAATTGAAATAGCCAATAGGAATGTAGCTATGCATTCCTATGCCTATTTATTTTTATTTTCTTGTTCTGATGGCAGCCAACGGCTCCAATGTCAGAAAAAAAAATAAAGACAACAGAGCAGGGAAAGGTTTACTCTGATCGATCGAGCAGAGTAAAACTTTCCGGAGAAAGTAACTCTCTCCCGGGCGGCCTGGAGCCACTATCCAATAGCGGGAGACTCCCGGAGCGTCCGGGAGAGTTGGGCTGTCTGGAGATCAGCGTCCCTGGTTATCTGGTAACCAGGAACTCTGATCTGCCTGTGCAAGTGGCCGAAGCTAGCCGTGAGATGACGGCTGGCTCCGCCCAGCAGTCCGTAGCAGGCTGTCAGCCGGCCAATGGCCGGCCGTTCAGCCAGCTTTGCCTTTCACCTCGGCTCAGTCGAGCCGATGCATATGTCTGCGGCTTGACTGAGCCGCTCGGCCGACTTCGGGAGCTGTACGGGCTATAATGAATAGCGCGTACAGCAGCCCTTCGGTTCTACTGAACTGAAGGGGTCCTGGGGTCGAAGCTAGCTGAAGGATCAGCCGAAGCTATGGCTAGATCCTTCGGCAGCTTAGTGAATAGACCCCTTAATGTTTTCACTAATGATGCACACAAATTTAACCCACGATCTACCCATTTTCTCTAATTGAAACTTCCAGGGAAAGGGGGAATCTTGGATGAAAGTTGTTGAAATGTTTGCTGAAATCATTGATAAAAAGACCTCTATATTTTCATCCCAACAGAGGATAGTATATCCATGGAAAAGTTCAATCAAACTACAGTGAAATATTTCATTATTACAGGCATTTCTGAGTCTCCGATATTACAGGCTCCGATCTTTCTTCTGGTCTTGCTCCTTTATCTCGTCACTCTTGGAGGCAACATGATAATTGTCCTTTTGATCTGCCTAGACCATCATCTACACACTCCTATGTACTACTTTTTGTGTAACTTATCAGTATTGGACTTTTGTTGCTCTACTGTTACTCTTCATAGAATTTTATCCACCTTTGTGACAGGTGAAAGGGCTATTTCATATTTGACTTGCATAGCACATATGTATTTTTTTGGAAGCTTTATTTGTGATGAGCTGCTGTTTCTAACAGCCATGAGCTATGACCGATATGTGGCCATTTGTAATCCACTGAGGTATACACAGGTAATGAACGGGGGAGTTTGTTTGCTGTTGTCCATTGTCTGTTGGATTTTGGGTTTCCTAGAAATGATCCCATTTATTGTCCTAATCTCAAGATTCACCTGTTACAAATCAAACATAATAAACCATTTCTTCTGTGACACTGTAGAAGTCTTCAAACTCTCCTGTAGTGACACTTCCATTTTCAATATTGTACTTGTTACGGAAGGGTTGATACTTTTGTGCCTCCTCCCTTTCCTTCTGAAATGTATATCTTATGTTTTCATCATAAGTACAATCATGAAGATCCGCTCCAATTTTGGCAGGCGTAAAGCCTTCTACACATGTTCTTCACATATCACAGTGGTCATCCTACTCTATGCAACCCTATGTTACCAATACCAAAGACCTTCAACCACAGATGGTTTAGACTACAACAAATTATTTTCTTTATTCAATACAGCTGCTCTACCCATATTAAACCCCATGATTTACAGTTTCAAAAATAAAGATGTAAAGTCTGCATTCAGAAGGCAGTGCAAATATTTAATCACTCATGCTGCATGCAACTGGCATCTTAGTTTTAAAGTATAAGGAATAAATCACTGCGATGATTACTCATTCCTTTTTGTAAATAGCTGACTTTTTCAGCTAAAGAGGATACAATGATAAAGAAATGGAAACAAGGTCAGATCTGCTGGCTTAATGGAAAACATCTTCAAACAATGTGCAATTTTTCATACTTATCTGAAATAAAAAAAATGTAAAATTGTATTTTAGTCCTGACTGTAATACATAAACAAAACATGTACAAAACCATTATGCATTCCTTTTAACAAAGTTTTTCAACAATACAAATAGTCCACCGCTCCAATTCCCAGGCCACTTAAATCAGAAATCACCACTGGTGCAGGCAATATAGGCCGGCCTCAGCCTCCAACATGTACATTCTTCTCGAAAGACAAGCCGCACGTCCATGGATCTTTATTAATTAAAATTACTTTTATTAATTTAAGAAATGCATAATATGAAAAACATCCCATGTATATGATACCCTTCACACGTTTCACCGATCTGGCTATGGCTAAGCTGGATTGGTGAAATGCGTGAGGGATATCATATACATGGGATGTTGTTTCACAATATGCATTCATTAAATTAATAAAAGTCATTTTAATTCATGAATATTCATGGAAGTGCAGCTTGTCTCTTAAGAAGAATGTGCCTTTTAATGAAATCCTGCTAAAAAGCACATTACCCAACTACACTGACCACCTCGGCTTCATTATAGGTGTGACTATGTAATGTGATGGTGGAACTCTCTGGTTTGTGTTCTATATTGTCTATATAGACTGTATGGCTGATTTGATAAAGGAGTTGAGAATCTTCCACTCATGTGAAATATAAATCCTGTTTATTTCATTTAATAATAATAATAATAATTGGAGTTAATAATCATGCAAATTGTTGTGTAAAGATTTCCTACTCCTTTAGTAAATCAGCTGCCGTATTTCTTTGCATTATTTGCACTAAATAAAGAGCAAAAAAACTGTGAAAGCTAAAGGGTTTGTAAGACGCCCACCCTCCCTAAAGCCCCATATCTATTATTTAATATAATCCCATTGTACATACCTTGAATCTATCAGTCTTCTGGCTGGTCACTTGACATCATAGATCCTTCCTCTTAGGCTGTGGTGATGGTGGTAGGTGGTCCTTAACTCCTGGACAGATGCAAACTTGTGGTGAGGTGTGAGTGCCATTTGTGCAATAGTACAGTGAGCTCAGGCCAGGGTGATGAAGTACCCAACAGGGTTTGTCCATGATGCTGGACTTACAGGAATAGGATTGGATGAAACTGGCCACCACTCAATCTGGAAGAGGATTAGCACCTGATTGCAGAAGAATAACTCTCAGTATTGTAAATGGGTAAGCCGTATTAGTCCAGTAGAGAAGATAAAAAAAGCCAAAGTCAAAAAAGCAATAGTGGAGTATTGCAGTATGTCTTTGCCTAATGATACCTTTCTTATTGGACTAACATGATATTTAAAAGACAAGCTTTTGAGAGTTAACCTAGAGTCCCTCCTTTATGGTGTTGAAATGTAAAATCATTTTAATCTCAAATGTTTTCCTTTCATGAGAGGTTTTCAGAGACTTTTTATGAATATACAGAACATCATAATATTCATGTATGTCACATCATGTTGATTAGTATTGCTTCTGACCTGAAGGAGAGGTTAACAGAAAACTTGTCTTTTAAATATCATGTTAGTCCAATAAGAAAGGTATCATTGCATACTGCAATACTCTGCTTTAACGCGTTTTAACCGCATGATTTACAGCCCACAAAACGCGCCTCAAGCGCGCGTTTACTTCTTTGGGCATAGGGCGTTTTTCAGCACGTTCCGACACGCTGAAATACGCCAGAAAAAGTGAGAACCATGCCCATAGGAAATAATGGGATTTCACTTGCAGGGTGTTTTACAGCGCGTCGATCAGCGCTGTAAAACGCCCAGGTGTGAACCCGGCCTTAATGGCTCTAAAATTATTGCTCTCACTCCGTTTGCGGCGATATGCAACAGAGAAATTATTAGGAAGGAAATTAAACTGGAGCATGAAAGTGTTGGAAAGGGTTAAAACTGCTGTCCAGTTTTTGCTGCTCTCTGTCAGGCATCAAAGAACGTTCGACAGACATTGCAGGTTGTACAGTCTCTGTACATGGTCCATTTATATTTATCATCAGCAACATAGTGAAACAGCCTGCATAAAGCTGAACTCCAGACACAAAGGATATAAATATACTTTATGTGCACCAAATCTCTTTTTAAACCCAGTTATTACATTGTAAAAGTAGCAGTGACATCATCACTGTGCTGTAGATTGTATTTAGATATTTGCTTAACTCCAAATTCTGCTTTAAATAGCCCATTAAATGGATATCCAGTTAAGTAGGACTTCCCACTATATAGCTGTAGGCAAATCCAAATTAAATTGTATAATGGGTTTGTAAGGAGTATGGACCAACCTAAAACTTACCATTCTACTTAAAACATTATTTTTGCTGTTTATGCCTCTGCTGGAGAGATTATGTTCACTTTCTCTTTCTCCTATGTAGTTGTGACCCACTCAAAAAAACTTGTTACAGACACCCAGGGCTGTCCTTATAATGAGGCAGTTGCCTAAGGCAGTATCCCATTGGGGGTCATCAGCTGTTGGGGAGGAGACGACAGTGAGGTGGACACACCGTCTAAGGTTGCTAAGAGCTCTTAGCAACCTGTGAAAGTCTATCCGGCTTCCCAACCGGCTCACTGATGTCACTGGTTGCCAGGAGCTGATGTAAATAAATTCCATCAACGGGTTTTGGCATAAGTTTCATTTTAATATATGCGAGTAACATAAAAGCAGTTTTTTGAATGTAAACAAAGTATGTCCAAGAATTTCAAAAACTGGAAGACTTGTCACCTATCTACCATCTGTATGCATATATGTAGCAGAACAACAGGCGGGATTTAACATGGTCACATGATCGGGAAGTCTGCCTGCGACTCCCGGTGTTCAGAAACCTTTTAAAGGGCAGCTTACTAAACAGATAAAATACAGATTTGTAAACTGTTCTGCCCACTAAAGGATTTGTAATTCAGTGTGTCCAGCCACACTGTATAGCCTGTTCCTATGAATAGTTCCATTGTTAGTTTGAAAAGCATGTTTCAAAGCAGTACACCCCAATTGGCTCAGAGCACTGGCCATTCCTCACTCAGTGTGAGTGTTTTGTGTACAGCATTACAGGAGACTAATGGTAAAATTCATGTACCTACAGTATGTTAGTTCCATGAAATGTGAGATGGATAGTTTTTGTAACATGCAACTTTTAAGTGAACCTAAAGTCTAAAACTAAACAATGCACACTATTTTAAAGCAGAAAATAAATCAAATGAAAATGATCTATAAGAAGATATGTATACTGGGGAATAGCTTACCACAGGCTCCACTACAAAATATCCAGGTGTTGGCCTGGCTATTTGCACTCCAGTGAATCAGTCAAAAAGAAATTGAATCACAGCACTACAGACTACAGCCACATTTCTTGTTTAAAAAAGAACTATGAGCAAACCTTTTTTTGGCTATAGTTCTTCTCTTTTGGGTCACAGGAGTACATTTACCAATGTACTCCTGTGACCCAAAGTCAGCATATAGTGGCCTACTGCCTGCAGAGCTGGGGAAGATCCTGATGACATTGTTGAGATCCACCCCACTTCCTGATTGACAGCTGACTCTGCCTCTCTTGAAAACATCTTATTAATTACGTTTTGTATACATACAGTATATCTGGTGAAAACAAGAAAAGTAATAAAATACTAAAGGCATGAGTCTCATCATGATAGTATATCCCATAAGGTAATGAGTTTAGAGTACGTAGGGCGTTCACGGAGAAATGTTATAAAGCCACCTATAAATTGATTGGCGCAGTTGCCATTTTGTTTTGCTTGTTAGATTTGATGCAGAGACACACTGGAGGTCCTCAGCTGCCATTGTGCTGTTCTGGGGTTCTGGTATACCTCTGCACCTTTAAACGCTTGAGTTCCAAATTAATTTTATATCATTTTTTTCCAGCACATAGAGCTTACTTTTGGTGAACTTAAATAACTGCTGGGTTTTTCTATTTGTGCCATACAAAGGAAAATAATACTAAAAATTAAGAAAGAAAACTGTTTCCCCTACTTTCTGTTAAAGAAGATGACAGAACAGTACAAACACTCCCCAAATGTTTCCCTTTTGGAAAGTAGACACCCCAAGGTGGTCTCATTTCTTGCTGCATATTTTTGAAAATGAAGAACCATGGTGATAATGAACAGGTTAAAACATGGAGCTTGGTATAATGGTGAGCTGGGTAGAGCACATCAGGTCATACACAGAGGGATCAGGAGGTGAATGGTTTAATATGCAGGTCACATACAGTGGCAGGATGGAGATGAGGGGTTTAATGTGTAGATGTGCAGGATAAGGGAGATTAAGGGTTAATATACGGGTCATAGTACAGAGGCAAGCTGGAGATCAGTAGGTCAGGAGATGAGGGGCAGTGAAAGGATTCAAAAAAAGACATGAGTCACTGAGAATCAATGAATACATAAATCAGCCAAAAATTACTCTTTCGTTGATTCTCCCATTCACAAATTATTACAATTCCTCTACTTCCTCTGAAGTGAGAGGAAAGGGAGTGATTATCAGTGTAAACAGTACCATGTGACCACTCTGATTTGTCATCACAGTGATCATATAGTACCGAACTACTCAGATGGGCTCAGTACAGCATCTGTATACTGAACCGTCTGAGGATGGCTCAGTACACAGAGACTAGCGGGTTCCCAATGGCCATTTGTAGAATGATGTCTTAAGATGTCATTCCAGAAGTGGATGTCTACCTGCCCACTATTTTTTTACCACACAGTGGTAGGGACGTGGTTAAGGAAGAATGGGCTACCTCCAGACATACCTACCCTCAATTAATTCATTGCTATATGTCCTTAGATGGGAGCTCTGTTAGACTAGAGTTGAGGAACACACTTCACAGAGGAGTTTTGATGAGGCATTGTTGATTTCTCCATATATTTGCAAATGTAAGCAATACAAAAACTCTTTTTTTCATGCAAATTGTTATAACAATTTATATGTAATAAATGAGCACTGGTATATTTTGTATTGTATTTTTCTGGAAACTACACTTTCCATTTGTACCTTATTTTAAAAAGCTAGTTATAAAATGATTTAAGTTGGCTTCAATTTTATTATGTTTATACACCTCATATCTGCTGCCATAGACAGACAGGATTTGGCGTAACAAGCACATGGCATGAACTGTGTTATTTTCTGGAAATTATTGGAAAAAATCCTGAAAAAAAAAGAAAACAAATGCAGCTACTATTCTAAGGTCTGGTAAGCTGCAAAATATTACATTTTAGTTTTGGGATTTATAAATGCTTGAACATCCTTCATTCATCTCTGAATCTTCTTTACCAGTGCTCTTAAAGCCACTTTCACATTTTCATTTCTCAGGCTGTAGATCACTGGGTTTAGGGTGGGAATACAAAATGCATACAGCACTGAAAACACTTTGTCCTGTTCTATAGAATAAGCGGATTTATGTCTCATATACATCCCGAGGATGATTCCAAAAAACAAGATGACCACTGTGACATGAGAGGAACAAGTAGAGAAGGCCTTGTGTTTTCCTTTGTTGGAACGAATATTTAAGATGGCAGAGGTAATAAAGATATAAGAAATTATAATGAAGACTAGAGGTATGAAACCTAAGAGGATGCCAAGCACCTGAATGACTAACTCAATGCTCTGAGTGTTACTGCAGGAAAGCTTAAGAAGTGGCTTCAAGTCACAAAATAAATGATTAATGACATTAGACTTACAGAACTTGTGTTGAGTCAACAATGCAGGATAAATGGAGGTGTCCAGAATGACACAGAGCCATGAAACCAAAGCCAGACAAGCACAAAGAGAAAAGCTCATAAATGTTGAGTAGCGTAGAGGATGGCAGATGGCAACATACCTGTCAAATGCCATAACAGCGAGCAGACAGTATTCTGATGCAATACATATAACAAACACATACATTTGAGTGATACAGCCTAAGAAGGTGATAGTCTGATCCCCTGTCAAGCAGATATGTAGAAGTTTTGGGAGAACAGTTGATATGAGTGTGAGGTCGAGAAAAGAAAGGTTGCACAGGAAGAAGTACATGGGTGTATGGAGCTGAGACTCAGTACATATAACAGTAATGATAGTTGTATTCCCAGACAATGCCATGAAGTAGATAAGCAAGAAGGTTACAAACAGAGGAAGCTGCATGTGAGGTAACTCATAGAATCCTAGGAGCCGGAACTCTTTAAAATCTGTCCCATTCCAGGTCTCCATCAAGTATTGTTTACGTGCTTCCAACCTTCCATCAAGATAAAAATTAAATATACATTTTAAAAAAAATGTTTTTGGGGTGCAAGGGAAAAATATATAAACATTCTCCATTGTGTGAAATAGACCCATCTGTCAACAGAACAAGATTTCTCCCAGTGACAATGATAAGCAGGACATTTGGAGAGTGCATATCACCCTGGCAGGGACACAGATCAAAATAACATAAATGACAGGGATTCTAACCCTTCTAAACTCAAAAAAGGTGTTTTCTTTCTGTGTACTTTAAGACTTTACTGACTGACTTCTCAGTGGCTTCTGTATTTCAATGTAAGTGGTAAACTGTCAATAGTAAAAGAGTCAAATTTCACATTTGTGGGTTCTATAGGCCATCACCCTTTAGCTCCAAAGACACGCTGGGAGGTTAATTGGCTCCTGTCAAAACTGGCCCTTGTATGTATGTATGTATGTATGTATGTATGTGAGATAGTGACTTTAGTTTGTAAGCTCCTTGAGGGCAGGAACTTATGTGTTGTGAAAGTAAAGAACTGCATAAAATTGTCTGCGTTATATAAATAATAAATACATAAATCCTTTCGGCTCTACTTTATACACAATATTATATATTTAGGCATAATTTTCTTGTCATAAAAAGGTTTATTTCCTCATGTAAGCTCCCCTACAAACAGAGACGATCAAAAAAAGGACAATTACATTTGTTATGAATGAATAATTTTTAATGGCAAAATTAGGGCGTATTTTAAAGCATTTAATGTGACATTTTCCAAACATTCACTGCAGGTGAATTTTACTGAGTTTTAAATTACAGTGATTGACTCACCTCCAGTGCATGATTAGTGATAGTCACATTCGCTGCTTTATAAATATACCCCAGCGTATACTATTGTACAAATGTCAGTCAGCATTTATTGGGTTTACACAGTGTACGTGCATTAAGGAACAAAAAGCTGAAGGGACATCTTGAAATGATATTGAAACATATACAGATTCAAGCAGACAATGAATTACATATTTAACCAAGTGATAGTAGCTGCATTGTAAGCTCTGCACAAGGGTAAGCTCACACATGACCCTAAAAAGCTATTCCATTATCAAACTCTTACTAGAAATGGCCCTTACAGATACTATATTAAGCAACATACTTTCCATACACTTTATGGGCAAATGTTTGTGGGCACCTGATCATCACACCTACCTATATGACGAGAAATATGTTGACATCCCTCCAAATTAGTGTGTTCAGGTGCTTCCAGTAAAGGAGTCTGTTAAAGCTACAGCATACAAAAGACATTTAGTCTATTGTGTGCTTCCAACCTTTTCTGTTCCAGTATGGCAGTGCCCCTGTGAACAAAGCAACATGCAATGGGTCCCATCACACTCCTGACCAGATTGTACCCTCCAATATTGGATGGGTGCCAAAGTGACCGCAGATGCCTCTGCAGATCAATGAGCTTCTTCGAGTAAACAGAAGAAGGGACCATACAGTTCTGAAGCATTGCTTTACAATGTGACACGGCCAAGGTCAATAAATATTGACTGAGAATCAAGTTGGAGTGTGAGTGACTTTCTATTACTTGCTCTGTGAACAAAGCAAGGTCCATAAAGACATGGCTTGGTGAGTTTGCACAAATCCCTGTCCTCAGCCCTACTGAACAACTCTTGGATCAATTGGAACACCAATCACTAGCCAGATATTCTTATCCAACATCAGTACCTAACCTCATAAAAGTTCTTATGGCTGAATGGGCACAAATTCTGAAAGACAAAATCTCATAGAAAGCCATCCTAGAAACTCCATATTAACATCACACCTTTATGACCTTTTTCGAAGCTATGCAATGATATATGCCAGACACATCAGAACCATATTTATAGCTGTATTATGTCCTGTGGGGTTTATAATGCAGAGTCCTGAAATCATTATTATTTTGAAAAGACTTTGATGCTATTTATAGAGTATTTGTTGCTCTCACACAAAATATGAATTTGTGTCTGCATCTGCCCTATTGCAAATGTAATAAAATGTTACATTTTGATAAATGTATGCATTTAATACTTATAATGTTAGTATTTCGTTTTTTTTTCCTTTTGCATGCCCTTTTTTATATTGTTCTACACATTTTCATGCAGACTTGAAAAAAATGACAGTTGAGATATAATCATAACACTGCTGGGGGTTCTTTTAATGGTCACCTTTTCTTTCCAAGATTTTCAGTAGATCACTAAATTCGCTAAAATTGCTGGAGGCAGAGTTGTGGATGGCTTCGAAAGCCGTTGTTAATATTTTGAATTGTATCCTTTGGGCTATTTGAAGCCAGTGCAGGGATTGGCAGAGGGGGTAAAACAAGGAGAATGCGAACTGTCTTACAGATGAAGGCAGTTCAAGGGTTAATCATCGGCTGGGACAAACCACAATGTCAAAACTTAAAGAAAAAAATCTATTTATTTCTAATCAAAGACATACACAAAACATTGCTGAAACACACGGCTGACAGTTTGCTGCCAAATGGTTAAAAAAATTGGCAGAGGGGGGTTGCAGACACTGAGCGGTTGGTTAGGTGAATAAGTTTAGCAGATGCATTCATGATAGACTGAAAGGGGGGTAGCTTGTGTAGTGGAAGGCCAATGAGGAGGGAGTTGCAATAGTAAAGGCAAAAGATAACAAGGGAGTGAATGAGTAATTTTGCAGTTTCCTTGGTGAAGAAGGTGCGTATTTTGGAGATGTTACGAAGGTGAAGGCGGCAGGATTTGGATAGTGATTGGATGTGGGGAAGAAAGGTGGGGTATGAGTCAAATATGACACCTAGCACCTTGGCATGGGGAGAGGGTTGGATAGTTGTGTTATCAATCTCAAGGAAAATTTTTTGGAAAAGTGCATGGGCGGGAGGAAATATCATGAGCTCAGTTTTTGAAAGGTTGAGTTTTAAGAAGTGTTGTGACATCCAGATTGATATGTCAGTTAGTAGATTAGTGACACGCAAGGACACTGAGGGGGTGAGTTGTGGAGTAGAAAGATATATTTGAGTGTCATCGGCATAGAGATGGTATTGAAAACCATGTGAGGTTATTAACTGACCAAGGGAGGTGGTGTAGATAGAGAAGAGAAGAGGTCCAAGGACCGAGCCTTGGGGGACCCCTACTTAAAGAGGAAGAGGAGGGGAGGAGTTGGATTTGTAGGCAGGGGCGGACCTTCCGCCGGTGCAGCCGGTGCGTCTGCACCAGGGCCTGAGGCGGGCATTAAGATGGCAGGATAACAGGGATAAGGATGACAGGGAGGAGAATGAGGATCTATTTTAATCTTCGTTCGTTCCCTCTGCCCACTGATTTTATAGAACCTGCAGAGATCTGGGAACAGGGTGGGGTCTCCTTCAGGCACCGGTCTGGGCCTCCTCTCAGCACACACGGAGGTGTAGCTCCACCCCCACCTGTTTACGTAGTGGGCCGGTCCATGCAGGGATTGTGGCCACGACCCCTCATGCCATCTCTATGGAACCACCGCTGCTTCCAGAAGGTGAGGGAGCAGAGCTAGGTGAGTACTGAAAGTCCTGGGGTGTCCCTAGAAGGCCGGGGGTGTCAGTGTATGTCTTAGGGAGCACCCAGAAGGCACTGAGGTGTCCCTGTCCTCTCCCATTTCTTCTTTTTCAATTTGACTTTTTTAATCTTAGCATCTTCACTGGGAACTTGTCATGAGAGGAGAAGTCTGCTACTGCTGGCTTCTCTCTGCAAATGCTGACTGTAATGTTGATCCCCAAATGTTTTTATTAACAAATATGTGGATCAAGAGCCCTTATCTGCATGCTTGTTTGGCTTTGAAGCATTACATTCAGAGGATCAGCATGACAGCCAGGCAACCAGCATTTTTTTTCAGCCCCCAGGGGGTCCCAGAAGTGTCCCTGCCCCCCGCACTGCCCTCTTGCCTAAATATTTCTACTTTTCACTCTGTCTTATTCATTCTGCAATAGGAGAAGGTGGCTGTCATTGCTGACCTCCTGAAAATGCTGCTTGTCATATTGATCCTCTGGAGAAGGAGAGGGATAATTACACAGATGGATATCAAGTACCACTGACATGCCCTAAGGAAAAAGAGCTGCTCTGCGGGAGAGAGCGATGGCCAGGGTGAGACATGACTCCCAAAGTCTAGCTGACGCAGGAGCTAAAGTAGTAACCCAACAGGGCAGGGAAGGCCTGATAATCTGTGTGATAGTGCAGGGGGTAAAGCATGAGCAGCTAAATAAAGAGCAGGAGGTAAGGGATTAGCCGATAAGCCTAAAGGGGTGATCTCTGCACCTGTATGCCAGAGACTGATTTGACTGGCTTATTGTTCTCTGTACAGCACTGCGGTATATGTCAGAGCTTCATAAATGTATAATAATAGTGTGTGACTGTGGGGGGACATTCAAGTGTAAGCTCCTCTGGTGGAGACCAGGGGTGGACCAAGGCTGGGGGGGCAGTGAAATCTGGTCCAGGGCCAGAGGATGCTTGGTCGAATCGGCTGATGGTCTTCTGAGTAGGGGTGGGGGGCCCGAGAAAAAAATCTTGCACCAGGGCCCTTTGTTCCTCAGGTCCACCACTGTTTGTAGGTAAAACTAAAGGAGCACTTAGATAGGTAGGAAGACAACCATGAGAGAGCAGAGTCTTGTAGGCCAAGCGAGTGACGTTTTTTTGAGGAGGAGCAGCTGGACAACAGTGTCAAAAGCAGCAGAAAGGTCTAATAGCAAGAGTAAGGAATAGTGGCCATTGTGTTTAGCTGTTATTAAGTCATTAGTGAGTTTTAGGAGGGTGGTTTCAGTGAAACGCGCGTTTCCGAGGGCTACTTGGCTGTATCGCAATGGAAACGCGCAACAAAAATGGCCCAAAGTAGTACATGTACCTTTTCAGGCGTGGGCCGTTTTGTAGCGCGTTAGGGACGGGCTGAAATACGCCAAGGTGTGAACCAGACCCATTGAATACAATGGCATTTCGATTTTTGAACGTTTTGTCGAGCG